ATGGCAGCCCAGCTCCAGGTTGAGCTGTTGTTCAGCATCTTAGCTGTGGAGGGCAGTGTCACTGGCCCTCATATGTGGGATCCGAACCGGGCCCTCTGGCGTCCCAAGCCAGTTCTTAACCATCGCGCCACTCGGCTGGCCCAGGATGAAAAATTCTTGATGTAGCAAATGAAAAATGTTTACATTATATAGACAAACACTGTGTACACAAATATTTTGTATGTATAAAATCTGGAAGGATATTTATTTCTTTCCCCAAACAGCCAAACAACATAAAATACACCCTCAAATTTTCTATAAATTGGTAGCTTTTACCAAGAATATTCGGCTTATTTAGTTATGTGAGGTAAATAAAGGATTTCTGTTATACTGGAAAAGAAAACTTAGGTTAAAGGAGAGAATTTATATTTTAAAATTCTTTCCTTATACTAAACATTTGTTTTCTCTATTTTAAGTATTTTGGAAGACATTTGGGTTCTAGGGATCTTTCTGAAATACAGCTTGCATTTCTTTTCTTAATTGAAACTAGTGCTCGTGGTGATCGTAGGGGTGTTGATTTAGACAAAGTGATATTAGCACAGAGATAGACAGTTGACCTGATGGAAAGGAGCAGGGAGCCCCAAAACATATACAGTATAGTTTATCTGGCAACCCCAAGTGGAAGGGATTGGCCCTAAATTTATAATCTGTGAAGCTGATGATTGTACGTGTGGGTTCATTGTACTCTTCTCCACTTTTGTATGTGTTTGAAGCTTTCCACTATAAAAAAAATATATATATTTTAATGTTTACAGCAGAGAATAGTTCTATTAGAGCAGAAAGCAACAGCTCTCAAAATGAGAGGGTGTCCCAACTGGAGTGCCTCTAAAAAATATTTTAAAGACAGAACTTTTTTTTTTTTTTTAGCTGAGACATCCTGCCACCTGTTGGCAGCTAGACCTTTATGGGAAAAGTTGTAAAATTTATTTAGTGCCAATATTTTCAACATAAATGGGATGAGGTACTATTTTGACATGAAAAATTACTAGTTTTAAAAGGGTTAATTCCCCAAAAGGATCTTTAGATTCTTCAGTCCTCATTAGAACTCTACCATGGGATGTGGTGTGTTTGTTTTTTGTGGAACTTTGATAAGCTGATTTTAAAATTCATATATAAATACAATGAACCAAGAATAGCTAGGGCATTCCTAAAAAAGAAGAAACGTGCCAGACCTATTATAAAGCTATAGTAATTAACAGAATGTTAATGAGGAAATAGAAAGACGGACCAATGGAATAAAACAAAGAACTGAGATGCAAGCATAAGGGAAAATTGATGACTGTAGTTCTGGTTCTCTCATATTAGCCAAAAGGCTATATATATATATATATATATATATATATATATATATATTGTTTGTTTGTTTGTTTTAAATCGTTCAGGTAAAATTTATTATCTGACACTCAATTTTGGTTATATTTAAGGGTTAAATTTGAAAGCTAATACTTTAGATCTCTTAAAAGACTTATTACATGGATGAATTTCTTTAAAAAGAAAAAGCACCAAATATAAAGATGGATTCGTTTGAGAACTACTCATAAAAAAAATTAATAAGAATTAGAAGACAAGTCACAGACTGGGATGATCAATGAGTGATTGTTTTACTTTTATAAAACAAATGACTTTGGCAGTATAACTTTCACAAGACCTAGTTGAGTATTTGCTTCAGGTTAGCTTCGATGTACCAATAGGCATTCCCATGATTTTTTTGAGACACACCCCTCTGTCTCCCCTAGACTTTATTATGGATACCTAGAGCTTATCAGAATTCGACAAGACAGCCACATCCTCAGATGATTTTCCCTGGTCTGTTTTGTCCCACTGAAAGAATGTATTTGGGGCCTGTCTTCTCTTTTTATTCATAGGCTTACATGAAGAGGCTTTGCCCTGAGGTTGGGACTCAGTCTTCAGTTGCGTTTATAGCTAGCATTTCTCAATTTTTTTACACTTACGCATTAGAAACGGTTGTATCTTTCAATCCTGAAGGTTCTGGAATTTGTGGATTTTCTCTTTTCCTTTTCAACCCTGTTTGCAGCTAGTTCTTTTCTGAGTTCATCTCTTTCTCCTGTTTTGTTAAGTACAGCTGATAGCATCCAGGGCTAGTAGCATACTATTTTCTGGCTTCTTTGTCTAACTCCACATGTTCATTAGTCACATTATCTGCTTTCCAAGGCATTGCCAGCAAATCATTTCTGCCGCTGTATTATATGTCTCATCATTTTCCCAGTCTGCAGTAACAGTTAATTGCAGCTCAATCCCTCTGCCAGTCTCACATATATGATGCATTTGTTACTGCAATAACCCACTCCTCCTGGTGCCAGTTTCTGTACTGGCTTTTCCTAAGGCTGCGTTGACCACTCTAAAATTTTAGTGCCTGACTACAATAGAGATGTATTTGTAGCTCCCATGTTAGCTACAAATTGTCTGCCGTTCTGAGGTTCCATTCAATTGTGCCTTTCTCTGTTTTCCAGGCTGAGGAACAGCCCTATCTTGGTCTTAGATCAGAGGGGAAAGTGAAAATGCTGATACATGTAATATCTGTTTAAATCTTCATAATTTCATAATTATATCAATATAATTTTTAATTATATTTCATTGGCCAAAGCAAGTTATAGCACCAGTCCCAGTGTTTGGATGGTGGGGGAGTATTTGTCTCTACAGGATGTATTCCAGTTAATCAGGTTCAAGAACAGGATGTACCATTTCACCTATAGGGAGGGGAGGACTAGTTGAGAGCAATACCTCTTGCATATCCACTTCTAGATTCCCTAACAGGCAGTTTTTTTCAAAGTGCGGAATTCTTAGCTGAAGGTAAACATTTGGAAGTTATCAGTGTATAAATGAGTATGAATAAGATCATCCAGGGAGAGGGAAGAGAAAGCTAGAAACTTCATATGAAGGAGAGGTCTCTACAGAGGAGACAAAGAATGAGCTATCAGAGGTGGTGGGAAGAATAGAAGAGAATGTGCCCTGGACCCTTGTTATAAAGAGCTATTTCTGCTCCAGAAACTATGACTTTTTTAAAAAAGAAACCCTGAATGCAAATGCTTTACATCTATTCAGTTGTGCCATCAGAGGACTTAGTTTTCCAGATAGCATAAGAGATTTAAAATTAATGCATGTGTATTTGTTCTTACAGAGATTTACCACAATATGGGCAGAAGCAGTGGCAGTCCTATTTTGGGAGAACTTTTGATGTTTACACCAAACTCTGGAAGTTCCAGCAGCAGCATCGGTAAAGGAATTTTATAGTTGAAGAAGAGTAAAAGTCCGTTTTCTATTAGTCACAGTTTGGACCTGTACTACCTGAGTGCTTTTTATTTCTTGGTGCATCTTAATATTATTTTATCTTCATGACCCAAATGAAAACAAATTGATTTTTTTCCTGTTTAAGGTTTTAAAATGTAATGCTCTTGTCTGACGTTTAAAGACAATATTATATCTAAAATGGTTCAGATGAATTCTAACATAGGTTGACTAATTCATGGTTTCATTCTAAAATAGGTGATTTTTATTGGCCAAAGCTATTGCGAGGGGGCGGGGCGGGGGAGTTGCTTCTAATTTTCATGAACATAGCTCAGAGAAGTTTCTTTTTATATTTCAGCTTACTCTAAATAGACATTTAACAGATGCTTTTCGAATTCAATTGAATGGTTATATTGAAATTTCATGAAAAATTCATGAATTTAAAATTTCATGATGAGTTGGGCGGCGTTTTATCCTATTAAATGTACAGATTTGATTATTTTTGAAATTTATAGTCTCTTGTTTCTATTTCTTATTTCCTATATAAAACAGACAGGTCTTGGATAATCGGTATGGCTTGAAGCGGTGGCAAATAGGGGAAATTGCTTCTAAGATTGGGCAGCTATACTACCATTATTAGTAAGTGAACCGCATATGGGGAAAAAAAGCATTGTTCTGGTCGAAATACAGCATGCAGAAGTATACATAGTATACTTACTTGGTACGAGGGAAAGGCGTTAGAAATGAAACCTTAATAGTTCAGATCATATCAACCCACACAGCACTATGATATGACCTCCATAATCAAAGTAACATTATTTCCTTCAAAGACTCACCTCCCAGACAGTTCATTTAGTCAGACTCATTTAGAACTTAAATGAGTATGATCTTGGTTTTAGATAAATGGAGTTATAGTTCTTAATGGCTTCAACTTAAATCTTGATATTGTATAGAAACATACCATCACTTGTATGTTTGAATGAGTGGTTTTCAGGAAGATATTTTAAAACTCCTACTTGGAGGATATGTCTAAAAGGTTACATGAAGTGGATAAGCATTATCTCTGTAGAGCAGTAACATTTATACAGTTACACCTATGAGTCAAGGAAAAAAGAGAACTCCTTGTAGGAATCCAAACCTCATTATTATGAATTAATATCAGGTATACCATTAAAGGTCTTGAATCATTTGTAATTTAAAAGACCAGAAAATTCCTTCATCTTCCTGTGTTTTGGCATGCCACCCCAAATCCCCACCATTAAAATCACTCTCGTGGATAGAATATTTTCTTAAGAAATCCCTTGTAAAACTCGAAATGTTAAACAAAGAACCTAATTCATCAGCACCCTCTGAATATTAATATGGATTGGTCCGTTTCTGAGTCCTGTGAGAAAAAAAAACTATGGAAATGAGCCAGAGGATAAGTGACTACATATGGATGTGGGGAAGGTTATCACAGGACTGTCCTGGGTAGAAAGATTGAACTGGACGGAGCTGTAGGCAGCCAGCTTGTTTGAGGCCTGAACTGGGAAGGGAGAGGAGATGTGACATTAAATGAAACTCACTTGAGTTGACATTTACATTGGACTGGTTCTATCAGTTAGTGACTAGTCGTCTTTTAGTACTTGAGATTTGCTTTGCATTTCATCCAGGGAAACAACTGGCCCCACAGAACAAATTTAAAGGCAGAGTGAATAGTGTTTATGTACTCCATGAGATCTGCTTTTCAGCATAATGGTCATATTTATATTCCTTTAAGGAATTCAAGCCTCTCGTGTACCCTTCCCCCCCCCCACTGCTTTCAATAAATAGAACAAATGGGGGGAAAAAAAGATTTAACTGTAACTGGGTGAAATGCTGTTTGGAGAGTCCCTTAGAAGGATGAGAATAATGCATACTTTGGGTTGCCATCCCAAAAGGCTTGGAAGCAATGGAGAGGTATTTTTTTTTATAATCGTTGTTACTATTATTTTTACACATTTTAAGGATAATGTGTGAATATTGCCTTGCTGATTCAAATTTAGGATAATTATCCCCATCCCCTACATGTAGAGGAATAATGGAACAAGTGTTTATCATGGTGAAGAGTTTGAAACACTGCCAAATTTAAACATTTTTTGTTTTTGTCGTAGCCTACGCACATCTGAGACCAGCTATCTGAATGAGGCTTTCTCCTTCTATTCTGCAATCCGACAGAGATCATATTATTCTCAAGTCAATAAAGAAGACAGGTATGCACCTACTATGTTTTGGAGAGAGGAAGATAAAACGCTCAAAATTTTTAGTTTGTTTGGAAATTATGCAGAAAAGCACACATTTGTTTGTAACTTTTATTCATTTAATGGGCTTCGTGCAGTGCCTACTTTGTACCAGGCCTTCTTAAGCATATAGAGGTCGTTACCTAATAGCAATAAATATTACAGATCTTATAACAGACGTCACAATATGAGGATACAGTCAGAGCACAAAGGAGGGGCAGATTATGTCTTTATGAGATATTGGGGTCACACGAAGTTTCATTGAAAAGAAACAGCTCCAGAGTGAGGCTTAGCTGAGATAATATATAAAATAGATAAAAAATAGCTTGGCTCTTTCTATCCTGTGTCCTCTTAATTCATATACATTCAGAAGCCTGTTGACAGCTGTCATGTAAGACTAAAGAAAAGGTGGTAATGCTGTTTGTTCTTTTATAAACCCAGTACTGTGTAGCTGTGTAGCTTCACTGTTAGGGGACAAAGTCCTATAGAATTCATTCATTCATTCATTCATTCCCAGTAATAATCTATTGAGCATTTTTTATATATCTGGCAATGTGGTAGGTGCTTGGGGTGGAGAAGAAAAAGAAAATAAGGTGTACAGGTCTGCGCTTTCCTTTTAGATGATTATCTTCTCGTGGGAGTTACAGACATATTTGGGGTACAGGTAGTGATGTTATCAATTCCAGATGAGTGTGGAATCGTGGAAGAAACCAGGACTGTGATGAAGACTCCTTATTGCTAGCATTCCCAGAAAAAGTTCAGGCCTAGAAGATAGGAATGTTCTCTCTACCCCCAGCAATAGAACTCACGGTTGTTATATAGTGGAAATATTATGTTCTCTTCACTATAGAAGAAAACATAGTTTTGACATGTTTTTCTAGAGAACACTTTATAGTTGAACACTATCATAAGCTTTCCAGCTTAACAGCAGTATTTTTTGGAAAGCCCCACTCTTGTAAATCCCCTCCATGTCCAAGCAAATCTTGTTCAAACTTGTCGAGGAGTAAGCTTGGTACAAGTGAGGTATGTAGACACTGAATCTCCATTTTCCTCTGGTCTTTTTGTCATCTCCTTTCTTCAATTCTTCTATCAGAAGTTCCATCAATTACTTTTCCTTCAGCTTTTTTTATGGTGTGCTTCACATGTATTCACTACAGATATGTTTCCTCCAATCCCCTTTTGTGTGTGTGTGTGTATGTTTATGTTGTACAATTTGTTTGATTCCTTGGTGAAATAAATTGTATCTCTCTAGAAACATGCAAAAGGGCTATGTAACATTTTATCAGTATGAAAAATATGTACAAGCAAAGAACTATTTTTAAGCAATAGTAAAATACCTGTATAATTCACTTTCCTAATTTGCCAAAAGGGAAATTGGCTTTCAGCCCCTGGCTTAAAACCCAACCGTTTGATTTATGAAGATTATTTTCTATCCTCATAGCAAACACCACACATGAATTGTTTTCCTGTGCTGCCTCCTAGAGCAGGGCAGATGAACAGAGGTAGGATTAGTTGGAACCACAATGACAAAATCTCTTGCCTTAAAGACACCAAATTAGAATCAAAGGACAATCTAGTGTGCTAATCTTGACCTTGTTCTCTGAAAGGACTTTGTTCAGTTGGTAGGTGGTTTGTTTCTTAGTTCACATAGGGTAAGGGGGCCAGTCAGGGAACCAATTGGCCACACCTCCTAAAATCAACAGCCAGTAGATTAAAACTAAGTAAGAGATTAATCTACAGTTTCACAGTTTCTTTGGAAGGCAAAAATCTCTCTTCAAACGACCAAGTTCTCCCTGCATGGTCTCAGTGCCTGAGGATTGTGTCAAAGCCGGGAGGAATGGTACATTCCAGCAGTTCCAGGTGACTGCCTGTCCCTCAGCATAGACACCTCTCGGAATGCCTCATTCCAGGGACCCATCCTGGTCAGCAGAGGAGACGTTACCACATAAGCACTTGTCCTAGGAGCTGCAAACCCGACTGTTGCCGATGGCTGAGGCTGACAGAGTTAGATACGGTGAAGGTGAGGTTTCTGAGTATACAGAGTTTGTGGGGAGACGCTGTAGTTAAGCGACCTGGAAAAAGTTTCTCAGGCAAGTGTGTAAAGAGTTGCTATCTTACAAGTAGTGGACCTGGCAGTTTGGTCAGGGCTGCAGTTCTGGAGCGCCAGTGGAATTATGATGTCAACATTAGTGTTGACAGTATTGAAGTTTGTTTAGAGTGGGAAATGTGAATCAAAGCTTGCAGATGTGGCACTTCCTCATCGTGGTGTTCGTAAAGAGGATGTGATGGGCACCTTTCCAGTGAGGTTCGCAGGGTGACCTTTTCCTCTGCAGTCTGATATGGTTCAGGCAGTAAGCTGTGGGCTGTGGGTTCAGGTTTTCAGGCTGCACTGGGATGGCCTCGTGTGTGAGTGGATAGCACTGAATACTTCATCTGTGCTTTGCGGCAGTTCGACTCAGTGGTTTCCAAAACAGAATGCATCCCCCACGTCTGTGTGTTTACTTAATACTGGGGCTGGCAAATGATGGTCTGTTTTTGTACTGTATGGTAGCTTAGAATCGTTTTTACATTTTTAAAGGGTTGTGAAAAAAGAAAAGATAAATATGCTACAGGCACCATATGTAGCCTGCAAAGCTGAAAATATTTACTGTCTGGCCATTTACAGAAAGTCGGGTTCAATATATGTTTGTGTGATCTATGTTACATCGTTGTGTAATCTATGATACAGATTCATAGAACCTAATTCATTTTTATCAAAAATTAAAGAACGTCTTATTCATATTTCAGGGATGAATTGATCTCCTCCTCCAAATTTTCTGTCTGTTTTGAATCCCACTTCTGAAAATGTGGTAGGGTAGATTATCTAAAAAATGATCTCCAAAACACCTAGAAATGCTGGATTAAATATTCCTTTAAATGGACAGCTTAGCTGTCAAGAAAGTAAGGGAACTCCCTAGGTTATTAACCCTGTGACCAATGCTGTGACAACCTGGGGGGGGAGGGGATTGTTTTGGTGACATAAAATAACTACTAAGGATTTCTTCAGGAAGAGGAAAATGGAAACTGGAAGGAAGGGGTGATAAACAAGGATTGGTGAGAAAATACTTATCCCTTTGTTTCCTAAAAAAGCACAGACTTCATAAGATAGTAATCATTGTAATAATGGCTAGTTGAGGTTATTAAGATAAAATGGGGCAAATCCTGGATAACTATTAACATGAAAGAATCAGCTTAGAGTAAGTAAACTTTGCTTGTTAAAATATTAAGAAAAATATTTTTAAAGAATATGAGGAGACTGTGTAACTTCAAAACAGGTAGAAGGGTGAGAAAAGTGAATAACAAAATTTTGATTATTATAATAAAAGGTAGAAAAGGAATATATACTAAAAAAAGAGTATAATTAGCACAAAATAATAAAGAAAAAACAAGTCCAAGTGCATGTATAATTATAGTAAATGAAAGTGATCTAAACTTCCTAGGTAAAAGTCAGACATTATCCACATGCCTTTTTAAGAAAAATCCAGTAATATGCTATTTACAAGAGATCCTCCAAAGATATGAGAAACACAGAAAAAGATAGATGAGACAGATACTAAGGGGAAGAAATGCTGCTGTGTTTGTATAGATTATTTGTATTTAAGGAGGAAAGTATTATTAAGGATAGAGGCTTACTTCATAATGATAAAAGGAACAGTTTAGGAAAATATAACAATTTTAAACTTGTGTATGTCCAATAATATAGCATTGTAATAAAGCAAAAAGTGGCATATTTTCATGGAGAAATTGATAAATGGTTTAATATATAGAGAGATTTTTAATATACCATATTTAATGATTTATATATCAAGAAGACAAAAAATTATAAGATGATTTGAATAACATAATTAAATAAAAAACATGTGCTAATGTGCATAAAACTGTATTCAGCAATAAGCGAATTCACATCATTTTCAAGCTTATATGAAACTTTTGTGAGATTGACTTATACTTGCCACAAAATAGCCTTCAATAATGTTTCAAGTACATGTTATCTAATTATGGTGCAATGCCATTAAAAATTAAGAATGAAATGTAGTTTAAAAATAGATAAATTTATAAATTTAAGGGCCGGTTGAGTGGCTCAGTTGGTTAAGAGCTCGCTCAAGAGTTTGAGCTCTGAGCAACAGCGGTTCGAGTCAGCCCGAGCTGAGCAG